TTTTTTTTTTTTTTTTTTTTTTTTTTTGGAACTGGGAATCTAACTCTGGACTTTGCACTTATAAAACAGGTGGTGGCACCGAGCTAAATCCTTGGCCTTAATATCATTAGAACTCTTAGTGCTATTCATGGAGTTCTTTCCCTACACATTTTTCTAGTTTTTCTAGGTTTAATTTTTCTATAAACTTTTTATTAAATCAACAAAACTTGCTACTTGTCTAATTGTATACATTGTTCAGTTTCATTATGTACTCTGTTTCACCTTCCTGAATAAGTTTTTCCTGGACCCTTCTGACCTGCCCCAGTCTATGCCTGGTGTGTGGCTATAACCTGGGAATTCCCTTCACCTTCACCTGGGAAGTTTCTTTTCCTCTTATCCCATGTTAGATCTCTAGTTTTCTGTTAATCTTGTCTCTTCTAGGCTTGCTCCCTTATTTTTATGAAGCCATTTCTCCAGCACAGTTCTAAGAAAAGTGGCATATGAGGCAAATGTTTTCAGACCTGAAAATGGCCTTTTTTCTGTTCTAACATTTAATGGTTTGCTAAATGTAGAGTTCCCTCAGAATTTTTTAAGTTACTGCACCATTGCTTCTAGCTTTCATTGTTGCTACTAAAAAAATCTGAAATCATTACTGATTCCTTATTTTTTTGAGGGATCTAAATTTTTTCCCAGATACACAAGGATCTTTTGTCTGTAGTATTCGTACGTTCCATGGTGACATATTTTGGTGTATATTTATTTTATTTTTTAATATTTATTTTAATTCACTGTGCTGGACACTTGGTAAACATATTTAAAATTGAAATTGTAGCATGACTTCTTCCCCTTCTATTTTTTCTTTTCTCACTTTATGCAATGATGTGACTCTAGCCGGGCATGGTGCCGCACGCCTGTAATCCCAGCACTTGAGAGGCTGAGGCAGGAGGATCGTTGTGAGTTCAAGACCAGCCTGGGCTACACTGTGAGTTCCAGGTCATTCTCAACTACATAGTGAGAACCTGTCTCAAAAAAACCAAAAACCCAATGATGTCTCTTGATGTTTTCTTTTTCCTCCATACTCTGTTTGATTTAAAATTGCTTTTTTCAAATTCTCTTTCATTTTAGATGCTTCTCTGGAGTATCTAGGTATCTTTAATTGTTCATATTTTAAAATAAAGATTAATAAATAGATTAGAAGTTCTAAGTAAGTGGGGCTTATTCGTGTTGAGTTTTGCTGAAAGATGATTTGTGAGTTGCAGAAAGGAGGCTGCTTAGCTGTGTAGAGTTATAGAGAGCATCTGATTACTTAAGCCTATAAATGGTTTGCTTGTGTTCTCTCTTCCTCTCTCCTTCCTTCCTCTCTTTTCTTTCTTTCTTTTTTCTTTTTCTTTTTTTTTGTGTGTGGGGGCGCGACTGGGAATTGAACCCAGGGCCTATTCAGTGACCTACATCTCAGTCCTTTTTTTTTGTCCTTTCCTTCCTCTTTCCTTCCCCTTTCCCCTTACCTTTTCCTTTTTTCTTCTTTGACATAGGGTCTTGGTAAGTTGCCCAGGCTGGGCTCAAACTTCCTATCTTTCTGCTTCAGCCTTTCAGAGTGCTGAGATTGTAGACATAGGCCCAATTATACTGTTTCATCTCCTGCTTCCAGGGGTACATATAGCCACCATTTCCTGAACCTTTTAGAAATTCTGTGGTGTGGGACTGGGGATTTAGCTCAGCAGTTCGATGGCCTGCTTTGCAAGCACAAGGACCAGAGTTCAATCCCTGGTACCAAAAAAAAAAAAAGAAATTCTGTGGTGTGAATTGGGTTGCTTTTGTTTTTTTGGGGGGGTTTTCTACTGCTGGCACAGAATCAGTTTTCTTGGGTCTGCTACATTATTTGTCCATTTGCTTTCCACCTTCTATTTTTGGGGTGCCTAGGCTCAACATGGGCCCTTGAGCTTGTGAGGCAGGTGGCAGAACCACTGAGCCAAATCCATGGCTCCCATCTTCTGATTTTTTGTTGGTGTGTCTCCTGTTCTCTTAGGGTTATAATTTAGTCTTCTTTCTTTTATTTAATTTTGAGACAGGGTTTTGCTATGTAAGTCAGGCTGGCCTTCAGCTTGAGACAATTCTCCTGCCTCTGCCTGCTGGGTGCTGGGATTACAGGCATGTATCACCATACCCAGCTTGGTTTATATTTCAAAACAGACAAAAACTTTATTTTATTTAATGGGGTTTTGGAAGTGGAAGAGGTACATGTGCTCAATCCACCATCTTTTCCCAGAAAATATGTAATTTTTAACCATGTGATTCTTGTCTTTCATACTAGTGCTTTATATCTATCTCTTAGTTAACAGCAGCACCATGGTTGTGAATATTGGCTAGGAGGCTGAGACAGGACGATAGGGAGTTTGAGCCCAGCTCAGGCAACCTGGCAAGACCCTGTGTCAGGAAAGAAAAAAGGAAGAGGAAAGGGGAAAGAAAGGACAGAAAAAAGAAAAACTGGAGATGGGGTCCAGTGAACACTGCCTGGGTTCCATTCCAGTACCACAAGTCTACAATGTTGACTTGATTTGAGTCCTGGCTTTCAGGACTTATGAGTTGGACAACTTTCCACAGGTGAATCTTAGTAAATCATTTTCTTCAACTGTCATATTTGGATAGTGGAGCTGAGGATTTAGCTCAGTGTTTCTGCCACCTGCCTCGCAAGCACAAGGACCTGAGTTCAATCCCCAGTACAGGAAAAAAAAAATGGATAGTAGAAACATCCACTTACTTGAAAATGTCTTAAGAGTTAAGAAATGTTTTAAGAATTAAGAGAGAAAATGCAAATAGATTAGTTGGCAGTGTTGCTTGACATTTGGTGTTAATAATGGTTAGTCTTTGATACAAAGTGTTTAGAACAATTTATGGCATAAATGTTTCATATTTGCAGACGCTATTGACATAGCATGCTGGTACTTTAATTATGTAAAGACTTCCAAATTATCAAACACTTAAATTCATTATCTAAAAACAACCTTAACTAATCAGAATTAATGCCATTTTATTCCTAGAAAGGTTGAGACTCTGAAAGTTTCATAATAGCTAATACATAGCAATTGGTCAAGGCTTAGAGAACTTTTAAGTTTTGTTTTTTCATACCCTACCCTTAGAATCTTTTCTTGGGGAAAAAAGTGTGATTGTTATCCTGGATTGGATAAGAGACACTGTGATGGTTCAGTTTTTGTGGCTCAGGACCCTGTGCTTTTGAGGCAGGCACAATGCCACTGAGCTAAATCCCCAGCCCCGGGAGGCATTCTTTTTGCCAACACTAAACAATTCTTTGGCCTTACCAGGCCCTGTAACCTGTTCATCCTACCACCTAGTCTCTCCTTACATTCCATTCAACATCATAATCATACTACTTCACTCAACTTTCTCCCCTCTGTCTAGATTCATTGTATTTGGCCTGGTAAAAGCTATCCCTGGTTAAATCCATCTGTTCCCTTCAGAGAATGCTGACGTTAACAAGTGGGTTTTATGGAGAGTGGTTTTAGAAAAACCCTTTAGAGAGCAAGTAAGTTTGGGTAGGGGGAAAGTAAAACTGGTGTTACCTGTAACTCAGAGGCTCCACCATCCAGGACCGTCCCAGGTTTAGTATTGCAAGTCCTGAGTCAAAATATCCTCCGTCCTGAGCAGACTGGAGTGGATGGTCACTAATTGCAGCAGCAGTTTTTGATGCTGGGAAGGCCTTCAGAGAAATCTGGAATGAAAGCACTGGGGCAGGGCCTTAGAAACCCTGCAAGAACTATTCATTAGACTTGAAAGCATCTTACTTCATTTCAGGACAATTCCTGGTAGGGGCACAGCAATGAGCTACCAGCAGTCAGCACTCTTAGCCACAGGAGGATTGAATACCTTGGTGCTGAATTTGGTGCTGAATGCTGGTGGTTCCCCACAGCATCCACTATAGCTCTAAATTCTTACCTCTCCATCTGCAACCCAATTACTCTGCTCTTTTATAGTTAAATGCCTCCATGAAATCATCCATATTTTTTTTTCTTTTTATTGAGTTTATTGGTACAATCCAGGTATACAATACAATTACATTCATCATTGGGATTCTGTACCTTTACATAATAGGTCTTAATTCTCATTTTTTTCCCCTTGTCCCTGCCCTCCCTTCACCCCATTTACTAACACTTTATTTCCATTATTTCAGTTTCTTATATTTTTTTCCTCTCCCTTATTGCCTTTCCCCCACGCTTCCCACTTTCCCTACACCTTTAGCCCTTTACTTCCTATTTCACATTATTAATTATCTCATTAGGATCCTGTGTACTATTATAGTTTTTCACACCAAAGAAACTATTCGGTATTTCATTTAAAGAAATCTCTGTATGAACATTAAAAATAGGGAATCCTAAAATAAAACTAAAAAGGAAAGTAAAAGACAAAAGGCAAAGATGTAACATTAAAATAATCCTTAATTCTGGAGATGAAAATGGTCCCTGAACATATTTAAATTGCTTCTCGCTCTTACAGTCTTACCTTATTCTTTTTTTCATTATTTAGAGAATACTTTATTAGTTTCTGTAATCAAATCCATGTAGATATGACCTTACATATTTAGTACAATGTGTTACCCCTGTACACATGGAAAAAAAATAAATAAATAAAAATAAATTATCATTTCTAGACCAATATGGTTGTCCATTTCTGTACAATACCAACTCAACACAGTAAACTGGGATGACTTTT